AAGTAGTATGCTATTGGGAGGCAATTTGAATAAAATATATGCGAAAAACTTATGTTAATCAGAATGAGAACCAAAAGGTTTCGGATTTGAATGTGCCAAAATGGAAATTTATTTTTACATATAGGAAGCAAACGTTAACAGAGCGAATACCAAACAAGGAAGCAAAATGATTTCCTTAAGGTTACAAGTATGAAAACAAAGGGATTACGCTATGAGTATAATTTTTTGATACCTAGGAAAACCTTCTGGACGCATTTGGGCTTTTTGGATCAAAAAGCCCAAAATACAACTACTAGAGGATTAAAAAAGGAACTTACAAAAGAATGGATTTGATTATCACCTGTACTTGTTGTAAATTTGGTTGCTAGCATAAAAAGGCATACAGTTGCACTTATAGAGTCAGATGGTGATTACATAATGTATTAATTTTAGTTAGTTAGTTATGTATTTTTTAAATAAAAAAAAATTTTGAATTTACTTACTTATAGCTAGAGTTAGAAGTGGTCAGATACTTATAATTACTACTGTATAAGGATTTAAAAAGTCAACTATAGTTTATATAGGCAAATAATTATGTCAATATATTCAGAATAATGATTTAAATGTAGCAATAATATTTTTTCTTCAAAAAATTTTATACTGAGTTTTACCAGTTTTTTTTATCGATCTGTAAAATGATTATCTATTCTGTGACTTTTAAAATTAACTGTAAATTTTGTATCACTAATAATTATAATTAAGTCTGAGCTGAGCTAAGCTGATAATTTAATACACAAATTTAACTCAAGCTAGACTAGGCCAGTATTTTAATTCTTGGCTTAAAATTTGAGTCAGGCTGAGCTTTAAAATTTGGATTTATGCAGGTTTTTAAGTATAAATATTAGTAATAGTATTAGTATTAATGTTATTATTAATATTAAAATTAGTATAAGATAATAATAAAGTATATAATAATGACTGGTTATTATTATATGAATTGTCTAAAAAGGAGATTTTTTGAGAAAAATGAAATTTTTTGTAATTCAAAGGTCTAGAAATCTAATTTATATTAATAAAATTATATTAAATTTTTTTTATACTTAATATAAATCCTTCTTTATTATAATATATTAATTATTAATATATATTTACTTTAATAATTTTTTTAGTTTTTATTTATAATAAAATTTCTAAAATAAATAAATATATTACTTTTTTAGTATTTATAAAATAAAAATAATATTATTGAATTATAAAATTTCATATTAATTAGTATATATTAATTATATTCTATTATTATATTTATATTAGATTAAACAAATATTTTAATATATAATTTTAAGTTTAAATTAGATAAGGCTAATAATTTAATAATTTATTCAAATGCTAAATTATATTAAACTTTAAAATTTAGACATACTAGAGGGTGATAAAAATATTGCATAATCAAAAATAAGATATTAAGTAAATTTTTCATTAATAACTAAGCTATATTTTTTTAGAAACATTTTAGATATCACTTATATTTCTGTGATTATTAGCAATAGTAAAGAAATATAAGAGAGTTTGGTATGTATTTTTAGTAGCTGAACTACTAAATATTATATACTTACTGATAATAAAAATGGATTTTGTAATAGGTAAAAAAATCATTAAAAATTAATGCCTAATATAATTTCAAAATATAAATAGTAAGTTTAATATTTAAAGATATTATATCTTATCAAAGAAATACAAAATGCTAAATCAATACCAATACTTATATTAATTAACAAAATTCTAAAGTATCTGATACTCTTCATATTCTATTATAATTAATAGTATTATACTATCAGAAATAGACAAGTTATTAATTTAGATTCAATAATCATAATATTATACAAAGTCTTTTATTTATTAATTATACTTTTTAATTTTAGTATAAGAAATTTTAATTATAAAATAAATCTAAAGTACTTTTCCTTTAAACTAAAAATAATATACTAGAATTATATTAATAGTTAATTATATATATTTGTGAAATACTTAAGACTGATTAATGAATGATAATACAAATTAGAGATGTTGACAGTTAGTTTAATACATATTATTATAAGATTTATATTAGTATCTTAAATTTTACTAGTAATTTTAATAATGCTTATGTAAGTTGTAATAGAATATAACAAAATATTAAAAAAATTTATATTTGATGATATTTAAAAAAATTTGTTCAAAACATAATTGATTAATCAAAAATAAAAAAAAACTAAATAATCTTTTTTAAGCTAGGGCTCTTTATTTAATAAATAATCAAAACTATTATAATTATATAAAAATATGATCAAGATATACAAGTTGAAATTAAAAAATACTTGAAAATGATTTTAGAAACTATTGTTAAATCTGAAATGAAAGGAACTAACTATATATGAATTCAAATTTTGAGCAGACAGATAGATAGATATTTTTCATTACTATCGCTTATATATAAATAGTTCTTTGCTTACACTTTAGACTAATAAGTATACTATTGATCTTAACATACTAACTAAGCTTAAAATTGCTAGATAATTAATAATACAAAATCTTTTAGATTGATTAACAACTTAATTATTCTTTTTATTTATTTATTACTATAAAAAAATTATTTACTTTAAATAATCAAAATTTTCTTTTATTTTATATTATTTTTCTTATTAAATAACTGAAAAAAATTCTTACTCTTTATTGTATCAAATGCTTTAAATACTTTTATTTAGATATTATTCTTCTATTAATAATTTATTTACTTTTTTGCTTTAACATTTTTTTTTATCCTATATATTTTTTAATTTATTAAATAAATTCCCTTGATATAACAAAGAAAGCTAACCAAAATTTTCTTTAACATATCTTTAATAATTAGTATAATAAGATAATACTTTTATTCAATTAATTAATTATTATAAATTTCTTTTATTAAAAAAATATTCAACTTAATAAAATTTTCAAAAGATAATAATAATATTTCTAGTATATAACTGTAATATATATATATTATTTACTAAAGCTATTTCAAATTTTAACATATCTAAAATGTATAAATAACATTACAACTATATTTTAATCATTTATTAATAATATTACAAAGTTTATATAAATTTTGACATATGAAAATAATATTGCAACTATATTTTAATCATCTATTAATAATATTGCATGTTGTTAATAAATTGTATTGCAAATAAATTATTTCTTTATCAAAGTATTCAAAACAATGATATCTGGTATGGTTTTAATAGATTTATTACTAGTGTGTTTTATCCTACCATTTATAATTATACTTCTATCTTGATCTATAAAACTTAATTATATTTAATTATGGGTCAAAACATAATAATAACATGTTAAAAAGCTATACCTAATACGGCTGAATGACTGTAACAGGATTCAATTTGACCAATACTTCATGCTTGCTTAAATAACGTTTAATTCTTTAATTGTTATTAAGCAAAAGATTTATAATAAAAACTTTTATACTTACCATTACTGACCAGGTGTTCATTTTTGTATCATAAAATTGATTTGATTAATATCTACTTTACGTCTAATTATATCAGAAGCATCAACATATTCATAATCTCTGATGTATACAATCATACCATTTGATAATAATGTTGCAGTGTATAACCCTCATATGAAAGGAGAATTAATAATAGAACCATATGATCTGTTAAATCATTAAATCTAACTATTTGATTCTAAATGATCAGTTGATCTTCCAAAAACGTAAATATTTTCAAAATCATCGACAATAGCTTGAATTTCTTCTCGTCTCAATGGCTTTGTTCCTGTAATTATAGGCACATTCCATTGTCCGAAAATTATCTTATAATATTACTACCCGAATTCGCACTCAAGGAATGGTCCGACGTGGGCAACGACGTATTGGCTCCAAGACTGCTCGAGCCATGTGTACATGGTCACATTTTCGCTTTCGACAGCATTTGATCCATAAGTCACGTGAGTATCCATGAGGTCAAGTTGTTAATCTGTACAGAAGAATACACAAGCAAAACTTGCGGATTATGTGGCTATATTCATAATAAACTAGGTGAATTTTGATGTTCCCAATGTAAAATAATTCTTGATAGATATAGATATAAATGGTGCTCGTAATATTCTCTTACAGCTTAGGCTGACGCGGGAGCAAATTCCCTTACAGGACTTGTTATTGCCTAATTTAAACTTTGCTTAATGTGGGGTTTTGTTAGTAATAATAGGTTTTAATTAGGCGTTGATTATATCGGATTGTATTTCATCAATGTGTTTCTAGGCAATGCCCATAAATTGTAATTTATTTGACTGTTACAATATCTTTAATAATAATGATTTTTTCGCATGGTGTGGAGTGGGATAAATTTTCTCTTAAACAAATCGTGAAAGAAAGTAAAAAAAGAACAGTAAAAAATACTAAGAATAGCTTTCAGCCTGTATATATTTATATACAACTTTGAAAAAACAAGCCTTTTGCTCTTGGGAAGCATAACTTTCTTTTTGGTCATCACTTTAATTGAAACCTGATCTATACACTGTATATTCACGCTAATCCTTCGACATAGCTTGTATAAATTTTCTAAAGGTTGCTTAAGAATTTTTAAAAAAGTAATTTAAGTCGTCTGTTAGTACTCCTAACATTTTGTTTGCCGCTTCATAAAAATCGGAACGATATTAACAATGAATATTTATTATGGTTTGGTATCAACTTCATGTAAATGTAGAGTAAAAAAAATAACTTTATTGATAGTTATGAATACAAAATGATAAGGGAAAATAAAATTTATCTTCATGTTTATAAATGTAAATCTATAAAAAAGAAATAAAAATAACCGTATATAAAAAAAATAAATGTAAAATAAATGTTTTTGTGACAAACTATTTTAAGATAGAAGATCTACACAGCGGTTATTTCCTTTTAACACTCCCCACGATCAGTCAAATTGGAAAATGTTTGGAAAAAGCTGAAAGAAATGACTAACTGCGGAGATAAAAGGAAATAACTACTGTAGAGATCCAGAACCTTTAAATAATTCGAGAAAATTATCTATAATAGGAAAGAAAAAAAAATGAAATGTTAAAATTGTAATTTAAAAAGAGAAGACTTTGAACGAAAGCGGTTTTACAAAAGAAAGTACCTTCGGAAATAAATCCATAATAATCTAATGGCATGTCTGAGAATTGTGGTGGCATCATAATTTCCGAGTCGTCGAATATAACTTTTTCGTTAAAGTTAGACCCGAGAAAAACGTTTTCCATGAAATTTGGAGGCATTTCAAAAGGTTGATCCAACGTTGAAAATTGTTGAAATTCTTCAGGGGGTGGCGGAGATGGTGTTGTATTGGTAGGTTGAATAGAGTCTAATGTTGGGAAGTTAAGAGCGATGTCGGTCATATCTTGAGAAACGTTATTATACGGAATGAAAATTTCTCCTAATTCGGAATTATGCGGTGACTCCAAGCTGTTAAACAGATGAAGACAATAATTAAGTTGTTGCGGAGAACTGGAGACCGAGGAGGTGGAAGTGGACTCATTATCCAAAATATTATATCCTTCAAATTCGGATGAATCAAAATCTATCACGTCCATCATATCTTGATCTTCAGAAATTTGGGACGAGTTAAAGGAGGAAGAGGTGGAATCCGTATTTGACACAGCGAACAAATCTTGAGAAATTCCTTTATTCAAAATGGCAAAATCTTCAAATTCATCAGAGAAGATTGGTGAGTTTAGATAGGAAGAAAAAATTGAATCCAACTCGGAAATTTTCGGAGAAGCGGAAGGAACAGGAGAAAAGGAAGATTCAGATGATAGAGAAGGAGAAGTGGAGGTGGAAGAGAAGTTTGAATAGAAAGAAGATTTATTTTGTCTTTGTTTATTTTTAGGTTTTCTGGGAGGATTCGGTTTGTATTTATAACCTTTATGTTTTGCCATATGCCTTGCTTCAGCCATTCTAGCGAGAGCAGCATAACTTTCCTTCACGTCCTCTGATTCTTCATTCCACCATTTGCCAACAATTTGCGAAATCATGGAAGATTTCATGCCGACAAAGCGGGGATCCGCACTTTTATCTCTACGATAAAGAATCCATGGGTTTTGACGACGTGGAACTTTTTTTATGGCGCCCTCTTTATTGTTTCTCAACGCAAGACGGGTTCTGGTAGAGTTATTCAATAATTCTTCGACGTCGAGATTAAATTTTGAACTGTAAACGATCTCTTCGTCGCTCTTCTTATTACCAAAGGACAAAACGTTGTTAGGGTCAGGTGGTACAACATTAACATTACCACTAGCATTTTTTCTGAAATTGTCCAAAGTAAAAACGTGTTGATATTTTTGTTGCTTAGTTTTGGCCATCTTTAAAATAAAACTAGTCAAAAAAAAAAAAAAAAAAAGGGTGTTGAAGTTGAAAGGTTGTTTTAATTGGAGTGATATTTATTATGTTTTTTTTAAATGAAGAAAAAAAAAAGACGAATAAATTATGGAGGTATTTAAAACATTTTTTTTTTTTTTGTGCTAAAGGGAAAAAAAAAAAATAATAATAATAATAGGTTCGGGTTTCCTACTTGACTTATTCTTTCTTTTTTTGACCTTATTTATAAGAATTCAGGGAAATTTTTTTTTTAAAAGTTTTGATAAATGCGATGAAGGTCGCAAAGCAAGCATTTTTATATGTTCTAAAAAATTGTTTTTGTTCATTAATTTGGAAAGTTACTCTACAGTAACGTATGACGGTCAAAGTTGATGTTATTGTTGTTGTTTTTTGGATAGTGTTACATTAATAAGGTACTCCGTTGCTCTACATAATATCTTCTACATTCGGTTTCTTTTAAAAAAAAAAATTTGTTACACGAAGGATTAAAGATATGGCTTTAAAACAAATACGGATAATCCGCATAAGATAATAACAGAGGCTGACTTGTATGCGTCAAAAAAATTCGATTTTTTCATTATGCAATGCAAATGCACGAAAAAAAAGTGATAATTGTTTAAATTAAAAGAACTTACAAATATATTATCAAAAGGAAAGACAAATATAATGTTATAAATAAAGTTTGTAAAATAATACAACTAATTTTGAATGCTACAAGCATTATTTCTTCCAAACATTTTAATAATACTTCTTTAAAGAAAGGAAATGTGTAACTATTGTTAAAAACATACGAGTTTACTGTACATTACATCATATAACTTTAAATATATAATGATAATCAAGTAGATAGCGTTGATCCCAATAAATTAACATTTGAAAAATGATTTCATTTGTATGGAGTTTCACAGTTTTCTCAGGTGCTAAATTTACAGCTAACGCAATAAGATGTGGCTTACTATTAAATAAATAAATTATTCTTGTTGATAAATAGAATCTTATCGTTATCAATCAATTAATTAATATATATATATATTCACAATTTGACGTATTACGTGCCACATTCTAAATTGTAAAAAACAAATCCGAAAGCGACAATTATAATAAGGTAACATCCTATTAAATCTTTCATTAGATATAATTTGTTTTCCAATTCATTTACTGTATTTTATTGAATTTCGAGTTGATATTACCAAAGGGAAAATAATGAATCCTCGAACTGACAGATCAAATAATGATAATGAAATTATGAAAGATTCGTTAAAAAGGTTTCAATAAAGAAAATATGGGACCTTTGCAATAGTATAGGGGGAAACTGACGGGAAAATAAAAATGAGCTAATGCTAAATCTGAACATATTTTAGTTTAAAAATCATATTTTGCATATAAAGGTCCTAAAATTATGTTTATGTACCAAGATTTTATAAAGTTATGGTTTAATAAATAATTCTTTTATATTATAATAATTGAAATAAATATCTATCAAAATCAATCAAGGAAATGATGAATGAAAGTTCATAATAAAAAATTAAAGACTTTTATGTGTCCTATAATTTTGTATAAAATAATGATGCGAAAATAATTGAAAAAAACTTTAATCATATTTAAAAATGGATTCAATTAGTATTATCAATTGCAAATTGGTTACACTGTTCCCATTTTTTTATTAAAGATATTCAAAACGGAAAATTTTTATTTAAATTTCATTATATTAGATAAATCATATCGTCGTCATTTGAAATCATCAATTTGTTCCTGTCTTGCATCTTTTTCAGCGCTGCGTTAACTTCTTCTCTGGTATATGCTTGATTTTCTGGTAAATTATTATTAATTTCTTGTATAAGGACATCAAATGAAATTGAATTTTCATGTGGAGGAGTAGATGTGATGCGGTTTAAGTGTTCTTGGAATAGTGTCATTCTAAAAAAGTATCATTCAAAAAAATACTTGAGAAATTTAAAGAAATTAATAATGGAATTATATTGAATTTTCAAATCATACCTTTCCGAAGTAATTATTTCCATATTATCTTCAATAACAAGAGTATCAAAATCTAACTCAACAAATGATTGTTGACGCGTTTCATCTGTATCCATAAGATTTTCTGTGTCCTTAGTTGGAGATTCGACCATTTTACCTTTACCTTTATCTTTGCGTGTTTCTTCACTTTGTTGTGAGCTATAAAAAAAATAATAATAATTTTAAAATTAAAATAATAATAATAATAATCCCCTCGTCCAACAAAGTAAATACCTAGAATCATCTCTATCACTATCATCATTGATATCATCATCAGAATCAATTTCATCATTGTCATTAACATTGGTCTTGCGCCTTTTACGCCGGTCTTTAACTGAAACTTCTTTAAAAAGTGCAAATCTGACCACTTCTTCTGCAACTTTAGCATCTTTGATTGTAACTCGTTTACCAAGACGCGCCTTTGCATGAGCTGTAGCAAGACGGAAAAGTGAATCTAAAGCACGTGGAGTCAAAGGTGACGTCTGAAAATTTATCATATATTAAAATTAGCAAATAATATCACACAAGTTGCCATACTTAATCCATCGTTAAATTATGACTTACCTTTGCCTTTCCATCTTTCTCTTTCTCATTACGAAGAGTTACCCAAAGTTCGCAAAGGTATGCAGCAGCAGCTTTCCCTAATCTAGGTTCCTCACAACCTTTAGCGTACTGAATATATTTTTTGAGAAATTCTGATGAAAGAAAATTTGTCTGATCTGAATTTGTATCCCTTTGGTCATCGTTACCATCATTTGGTGATAAATCATAATGCATATAGACTGGAGTTGGTTCTGTGCTCTTCTCGGCCTCTTCCATAAAAATAGTTTGCCCAGAGTCTTCCTTAATTGGAACACCTAAAAAACAAATCGACGAAATGAAAAAAATTGTTTGTCCACTATATGTATATAAATCATATATATTTTAATATACACAACACAATGTAAATTTATACCTTCTTCCAAATTAGGTGGTCGATATTCGTGTAAACGCAATACATGCTTGGAAATTAAACTGTCTCGTACTTCGTTTATTTCATCAGTTACGACGAATACAAGATCAAAACGGGATAACAATGAATCTGGTAATGCAATATTATGAGAAGGATCCTTATGGATATTATACTAATGTTATATAACCGGAAATTATGATTAGTTTAAACCCGTGTCATGTCAGCATTGTAAATTAGAAATCCTTGCAATGTATAAGTTACCTGTCCATAAATAGGATTCGCTGCGGCAATCACACTGCACCTTGCATTCAGAGAAGTGTGAATACCCGCCTTTGCAATTGTTACGGTTTGTTGTTCCATCACTTCATGTATAGCAACGCGGTCAGTATCAATCATTTTATCAAATTCATCGATGCAGACGACACCTCGGTCTCCTGTTTTCATTTGAAGTTTCGAAAAAAGTCGATTAATAATTTGAAAATAATACTCACATTTAAAACAGATGCATACCGAGAACCATTGCACCGGCTTCCAAACATTTTTCTCCTATTAAATAATAAAAAATTATTAATGTGAAAGTGTATAAACATATCACACACACGCGCGCGCGTGCGCATATATATTTATTTCAATGATAGAAACCTGTTTCTTTATCCCTAGTAACTGCTGCTGTTAAACCTACACCGGTAGAACCACGACCAGTAGTCGCAATTGCGAGTGGTGCTATATTGAGAACACGTCGAAGGAGTTGCGATTTTGAAGTTGATGGATCACCAACCATTAAGATATTAATGTCACTATAAAAATCGGGTATAATTTATTATAGGATATGTATATTAAGAATTTTCGATATTTTTTTTTTAAAAAAAGATAAGTTACCCTCTTATGTGTGTTCCGCTAGACAAATTTTGTTCTTTTCCACCCAATAGCATAAGTAATATCGCTTTCTTAATCATTTCATGCCCGTATATCGAAGGTGCCAAGGATCGCGAAAGCAACTCAAAAACGTTTCCATTTTTTGCAATTTTCTCAATATTTGCGGTATCAACATCTGTAATCGCTTTATATCCGATTTCACCGGAAAGAATGATAACATTGTTTGCAATAATTACGGTTCTTTATAAATAATAATAATAATAATAATAAAATTTCATTAGTAAAGTGAATAAGAAGAAAGAAAAATAATTAATCATAATTTGAGACATACTTAAATGTTGCAGAAGTTGACCCCTGAGTAGGCTTGCCTATTGCTCGGTAACAACCAGCTAATTGAATACGATCACCGGGTTTCACTTTATCTACTAGATCATCGTCCAAGATGATGTCAACGGACCTGGTCAACATTCCAGGTGGCATTTTCTCCGGCATTTCTTGAAGACAAATTGTCTGGTGATCACGGTACACCGAATATCCATATTCTGTTGTCAATGGATAACCATTTTCATCTTCCGTCGGATATGCGGAAGATGATGGAATTTGATTCCCGATTGATGTAGAATCATGGTACTCTTTGCTACAAAAATTGCCAGTCTTTTCACAATAATGAACGCTTTTAGCAAGTTTCAAGCGTACAAGCGAACCTAAATAAGATAAATAAATGTATATTTATAAATAAATTTTATCGAGTTGATATAATGAAATAACCATAATAAATATTCGTTTACATCGAGAGACAATTCCTTCAATGCAAATTAATTTTCCAAGATGAATGGATTTCAGTGTTCGCGGATTAACGTGATTATGAAATGTTCCGTTGAATCCGATGTAATAATTTTGCTCTTCAATATTTTTTTCAATTTCGTCATTGTTTCCTAGACCAATACTCAACGAAAGATTTTTTATTATGTTTTTTAAGGCTCTTTCGAATGCCGGTATCCATTCATTAGGTGATCCTTCTAACCTGCAAGTATAAAGAATTTTCGATGATGATTTAGTATTTTTTTATTGAATTTATAAAAAAAAAATTAATAATAAATTTGTTAAAAAACATAACCATACTTTTTAGCGTTCTCTGCA